GAGAAATAAATTTATTATATAAAAATGGTAAATAAAAATAAATGCAACTATTACTACCTCTGCCGGCGCTCTGTAATGTGAATAGAACGATCTAAAATCTAAGGCGAAAAGTCCTTCTTTACATAATTATTTCTCTTCCTATGGCTTGGTTACGGAATTCTTGTCAAACTTATGATTAAAATGTAAATAAAAGATATTTATACAAGTGATTTATATATCATATTCATTCTAAAGAAACGATTAAAATAATAGAATAATAAAATGATAAAATGTACTATTCAGATAGATCGTTCTAATAGAATTATCATACTATACGAATGATACTTTTTATCATTCTTTTAGAATGACACGTTCTATTGAAATGATATTTTTAATCATTTTCTAGAATAATGATTTTATCTATTGGAATGATCCTTCTATAGTTTCTTTAAAATGATTTTTCTATCGCTCTATCAGAATGATGATTTTAATCGTTCCTTTAGAATAATCTTTTATTGTTCTATTAGAACAATCCTATTATGATTCCTTTGGAACAATTCTTTATTGTTAGAAGGTAAAATTGCGAAACTCTTAAAGAATCGCAAATATTTAGTGAAACTCTAAAGAATTCTCAATTCTAGTATAATAAAATTTTTTGTAAAGGCAAATGATTAAATGATATATGCTTTAAATGATCTTAAAAAACCTTGATCATTTATTATTTGTCATTTTAAATCATGTACAAAATGACAAATAATTTATAATTATAACAAATAAATAGACATATCCTTAAACTGAACATTGGTTATTTAAGTTAACGCTATGAATTAGGCAAAAAAATGGGTTTAAAATATTGTTTGAGATTCAACTATTAAATAAATATAAATGCATTTTGCTAGATACTGTAATTTGTACTTTAAATTTAAGTGATACATTTCTTTTGACCACCACTTTATATAAATGAATTTAGGTTTTTGCGAGCTATTTGCTTAATTTGAATGCTTTATAAAATATCACTGATATTAATATATTTTTACAACACAACAATTCTAATAATTTTGAAATATTCATTGTGAAAAATTTATAAATTCACTAACTATAATTAATTTATCAATATATTAATAGCTTAAAATAGAAAAAAAATTCTGAAAATATATAGATCTCGAAAGAGAAGACAAATAATTAAAAAAAAATTTAAAATTTAAAATGTTTAATGTGAAAATCCTAACATGAATCATTTTATTTGAGAAATCCAGTCTTTTTAAATAGAGAAGCCACAAGTATAATTTTCCTTTCACTTGTTAGGTGACTAATCATTTTCACAAGCTTGCTTTCTCTTTTGTAGGCCAAATCTAAAAAGTCACTTTTACTCGACAGAATTTAATCATGACAAAAATCGAAAAATCACATTGCTTTAATTTAAGGGCAGCAGTTCAAAGTGCTATAGCCATTTTCGTTGTTTTGATTATGTTAATTATTTTTGATAAAATGAAATTGTCTTTTCCATTTAAACGTTTTGGATTGTAAATATAGATTATATAGAAGCTAACGACAGTGTTAAAACATTTATTATTATTTAATCTAATTTTAATTTTGAGGTAAAATTTTTTTAAAAAAAATAGATTGCAAAATTAAAGTTTAATTTATTGTTAGAGATAGTAACACAAGATCTATTTATTACAGGATGTATAGAATCTTGATTATAATGCATATAATTTTGAAAATAATTTACAAGACAAAAAGGAAAGTTTGACGAAATTTTCTTTATGGCATATAAATTAAAAAACAATTTAATGCTCTGAAAGTTAATTCAATGGTAATTTTTGCCACAAATTGATATTTACAATTTATTGATAATTTGTAACATTATTTTAAGAATAAAGATGAAACTCAAACATTTAAATGTGTTGTGTAGAAGGTAATTTATAGGATAGTCATAAATGTATTAATTTTTCAAAGATTCTGGTCTGATATCCGTTAAGGAATTGGGTAAATTTGGCAAACTATTTATTTGTGTATCCCAACACCAGAGAGTTTTTAAAGAGTTAGGTAAAGTTGGTAGGCTGGTTATTTGAGTATTGAAGCAATCAAGTTGCGTTAAAGAGTAGGGTAAAGTTGGTATTGGAGTATTATAACAAACAAGTTGGGTAATATTGGTAAGCTGGTTATTTGTGTGTTACTACAATAGAGTATTATTAAGGAATTGGGTAAAGTTGGTAAGCTGGTTATTTGAGTTTCATAGCAATAGAGTGTTGTTAAGTTGTTGAAAAAGTTGGTAGACCAGTTATCTGAGTATGATTAACAGCGGAGTATTGTTAAGAAGTTGGGTAATGTTGGTAAGCTGGTTATTTGTGTGTTACTACAATAGAGTATTATTAAGGAATTGGGTAAAGTTGGTAAGCTAGTTATTTGAGTTTCATAGCAATAGAGTGTTGTTAAGTTGTTGAAAAAGTTGGTAGACCAGTTATCTGAGTATGATTAACAGCGGAGTATTGTTAAGAAGTTGGGTAATGTTGGTAAGCTGGTTATTTGTGCATTACTATAATAGAGAATTATTAAGGAGTTGGTAAAGTTGGTAAGCAGGTTAATTGAGTTTCATAACAATAGAGTGTTGTTAAGTTGTTAGGTAAAGTTGATAAACTGATTATCTAAGTATTATTACATCAGAGTACTTGTAATTTTCGATATCTTTGCAACCCTCCTGTGGCGTTTAATATGTCATTCTTATTATGATCCGTAATCGTTAAACTATCAATAGTATCATCGTAAATGGTAGTTTCAACATTCGAATCTAATTCTTCAAGATTTATCTGATCTATATATTGAATCATTCGAGATAATTCTCAATGTATTGTTTTGACAACTGAAGGTTTGATTCTTCATTATAAATTTGATCATCTTCAAATTTATTTGTTTTTGTAATAATTGTATTTAATTCATCAACTACATTTTTCATAGACGGACGATTGTCAGGCTCGCTGTCCCAGCATACCAAAAACCATACAAACAATTTAATGATCAAATACATGATATTTAATTTAAATTTGTAATAAAATATTTACCTGTATAAATTTTTACATAAACTTTTGGCGTTCCAGGAATGATAATTTCTCTAACACCTTGGGAAATCTCAATAGCTAAATCAAGGTCGTATGGTTCTCCTTCAACATAAAATGGAGGTCGACCACTCGATATCTCCCATAACAGCACGCCAATACTATAAACGTCACTTTTTCATTCAGCGTAGATTTATTGTCACTTCCTCTCCGTCTACGAAATAATATATGGAATTACACCAAATAGTTTTGACTGATTAGAAACTGCTTCAATTCTTTTCAATAAGCCAAAATCTGCGAGTTTAATTACACCTTGATGAATTAATATATTGCCTGAATTCTATTATAAAAAATTAATTATTAATTTAAAATTCATAATAAACAAAATAAGATATATGATATTATGTAAGATTACCAGATCACGATGTACAATTCCTTCGTCATATAAACACGACACAGCACTAGCCAACTGGAATGCCATTTTGTATTTATCTTCCAATCAAGTTTATCAAAATTATTCTTTAAATAGTTTTTGAGTGCACCGCCATCAGCATATTCCATTATTAACCAATATTTTTTCAATTGATCATTTTGGTTTTCTAATTTTTGAATATGTTTTAATAATATATATAAAAGAGTTAAAAATACAGTAAGTCTATACTATATTATATATATCTTAATTGAGCTAATTATTTAAAGATTTTTTACCTTGATTTGGTGTTGTAATCCCAAAAAAAAGCGGATGATATTGCAATGAAAATCAACTTCTCTTTGATGTTCAAGCTAATTTATTATGAATATAAATTTTTAGTTTGTCTTATTTATTATTTTATAATAAATAGGTTGAAATACAATATTGCATTTTGTAATTACCTCACGAGCTATTTCTTTAAAAGTGGCGTTGTCAAAGTTATGAAACGATTTTAGCACGAGAGGTATTTTTAAATTTTTCCAATTTGCACGATAGACTTTTGCAAAGCTGCCCGTACCAATCACTTCAAAATTACTAAAATAATTATATTCGTATTTTTTGACATTTTTTCTTAAAATATATTCTTCAATCCACTCATTTGAATTATTGGTAGTTTGTATGTTGATTTTTTATTAATTGAATATTTAGCAAGCAAGCGAAATAAAAATTTTTAGAGATAATTTCATATAAAATTTCTAAGCCACAGGTCATATGAATGATCAATGTAACAAAAAAAAATTTCTAATTTTTATACATATGTATTTCCGAGTTAAAAAATTCAAGGATTTCTGATTGATCGGCTATTAAAGGTGATTTTATTAAATAGGAATATAATTCAAATAATTATTAAATTTTCAAAATATTTTATTATATCATAAAAAGAAAGTGATAATTGTAAAATAATATTGCATGATAGATTTTATTGAAGTATCATATCTACCTTTTTTTCAGAAAATGATGATACTTTTAAATTGATAAAAAATTTATGATGCAAATATATATATATATATATATATTTCAGAGGAAACTTTTTCATTGAATTTTAAAGAAATTAAATTAATTACGTCAGTTAATCATAAATGTGTTAAATTACATTCCTATTAAAACTAAAAATTTCGAAAGTGACCAACTGTTATTTCTGCAATGTATGCATTTGATTGATAAAATTATAAGTGTAAGTATGCAACCTAAATACAGATTATCATTTCACTGACACTTTATTTCAGGATCATACGTTTGACCAACAGTTTATTTTAAATTAATACTAATCTTGTATTTTTTTAATATGATTATAAATAAGATAAATTTTGTTTTTGAATCAGATAATTTGTTTTCGGCTATGAGTAAATCTTTCGTAAGGACGTAAATTCTCGGTAAAGACACAAGCCAATTGTCATATTGGAAAGTAATTTAATTATACTTCTTTTTGTATAAAAGCTCAAAGTTCATATAAAAAATAGACACTTTGTAGTAGTAAGATACGAAACTCTAAAAAATCAATTTTTTTCTTTATAAGCCAAATATGATATTTTTTAGTAAAATAAGATGAGATTTATTATCTCATAGCCTTATTGGATCATGCTGAGTTTGATATATTTTTATAATATACTTTATTTTGCAAAATATTGAGCATTGATAGCTTATATGCATTCAATATTGAAATTAATAGCTAATTTTCGTATTATAATTCATTTTATATCTTAATTTCATACTAAATGTCAGTTATTTAATAACTTAAGAGCTATTATTAAAAAGATTTATCAATAGTATTAATTTTGTTGCAATAGCTTACATGAAATAATTGACTTTTTACAGTAATTTACTAATTTTTATAGTTCACTACAGTTAGATAAATAGTTTATTAATAAAAAATTATCAAAAAATATAAGGAATTGAATTTAGAAGTTGAGATCTTTTTATTATAATCTTGCCACGGAAGAATTTATAAAACTAAAATTTTGCCTGGAAACCAAATATATATTCATTTTATAATGAAAATAAATACATCCTATTATTTTTTCGCGCGGAGTCGTTTGATAATAATCATAGTAAACAAAAGAAATCAAAAGGCAATTGCACCCACGGCAACAAAATATTGAAATAAAGTTTTGGTATGGTTCATTTGATAAACCATAGGAAGGATAGTCCTATGCTGCCTGAAAATTTGCCTCCTTTATATTGATGAAAGTGAAAAGTTTTACTTCAAAAAATCATTACTAACTACAAACAAATCTCAGAGCTTTTAAGCATGATCTGCTTTAGCTGTATGATAATATAGATATTAACTCAAAAAAAATTTTTGTTTTGGAGTTTCGTACCTTTCTTTCTACTGCAAGCTCCATTATAGTATACTATGTCACCTGACTACCAATTATATTGAAGCTAGATAAGAAGATTTATTATATGAGTCCAACATGAACACAAGCGAACTGATCATGAAATGATGTAGCCCTTTAAAGCTTTAATGACTAATCAAATTTAAGCGACGAATTTTTAATTAAGGTATAATGCAAATATTTAAATAATTATGATATGATATATTAAAATAAACTTTTCTTTATCCATATACTTGTAAAAGTATCGGGAATTTCAGGCCTAAGCCAAATTCTCACGAAAAGGTATTTATTTGCAGTTATCGAAAATTCTTTTAGTGGACATCATTCGTTGATTAAATTATTCAACCCGTTTATAACTTGCTGTTTTTAATGTCTAATCGGCGAAATGCTCCTGTTGTGCAATTAAACGGACCCGTTTATTCTTTCTTAATAATAAACTTTTCTTCAAAAATACTAAGAATTTCTATCATCTTTTCACTCTTATTATATTTTAAAGCGATTAAAAAATTTCCACATAATAGATGAAGAATAGTTTACATAAAATTAATTTGACATTTTTTATTTTGCTTCAATTAGAAACTTTTATTATTTTTTATTTTTTTTTGAATTCAAAAAAAATTATGTGCGATTTTATTAAAAAAAAATATAATAAAAAAAATATAAACATTTCGTTTTTAATATAAGTAGGAAAAAATTTAATATCTAAATATTATAAAAATATGCAAATGAATAAAACATCAATATTAAAATGCAATAAAATCTCGATTTTCTTAAAATGTCTCGGAATCTATTCTAGCTATCGTCCATATATTTCATAAATAACTTCAATTTTACTAATTGTATTTTATAGCAAATTAATGATTTATCCAAAAAAATTCATAGTTTCCTGTCGCAGTTGGCTAATTAAATTAATGACTTTTAATATATTCAGATTAAAATTCAAAATATGTATTGGTGAAAATAGTAAACTAGAAATTGCAGCTTTTAGAACTTCGCTCTAAGCAGAAGAATATTCATATTATATAATATAATTAGATCATACAAAATAAAATGGGACTAGCAAACGCTTGATATAGTTAATTTAGATTTGGTACAGAAGGTATTTTTAAAATTTTTTTTTTTGTTGCGAAAAATGTAAATCTTTTCCATTTTTATAAACATGTAAATTTTTTAATTTATAACTAGAGTTAGCGGTATACGGGGGACTTCGTCCCCCCTGCTTAGTAGAAATTCTGGAGTTGATTGATTTGTGATGTTTTGATTGATATTATTTGTTTATTTAATTATTTGGTATTTTTTTATTATTTAAAGATTGTTGAATTTATAATTTATAACTTTATTTTTTTTTAGTTAATCTTTGTTTAATTTATGTTGATTTAATATGAAGTTATTACAAAATTGTACAAAATTTTATGTTATAAAATTAATTTTATTAATTAATAAGTAACTATTATTTTTTTAAATTGATTATAATATTTAAATGTTAATCTGACATTAAAATGTTTTTGTCTTTGCATTGAATTTTATTAAGTAATATTTTATGAAATTATTTTGATATGAATAATATCTATAAAGGCAATGGAGTTGTGGCTTTTAATTCTAGACGTTTGTATTCTTTAATCATTAATTCATTTATAATAAAGGTGAAAGGATATAAAGAGACAATATGTACTTTATTCCAGTTGGAGCATCGGCTTAATGCAACATATGCTTAACCGGCTGAAAATATTTGTTGATCAAGGCATAAAGATATTTCTGGTAAAGTTAGACCTTGTGTTTTATGTATGGTGAAAGCAAATGCATTTTACAAGGAAAACTGACATCTACTTGATGGTTTTCTATCAATTGTAAATATTGCAGTTTCTTTTTTAATTTAAATATCAATGATTCCGCCTACTATGCTGAATACTATTCTTACTTGTAAGGATTCTAAGTTTATATCTGTTATAATTCTGAAAGTACCATTGCATTCCATTAGATTGTTTTTTAGGTATATCATACAAGCACCTTGTTGTATATGTAGGTAATTTGGAAGGTTAGATTTTTTTTGAATAATTTTGTAAGTTATTTGGATTGTATCATTCTCTATTAATAAAATCAATTGCAGTACTGATTAAAAATTTATCTTTATTTACTGGTAGCATATTACATATAGTGTTATTAATTCAATCAGCAATTTGTTTATATCCAACGATATTTATGATATTAAGTATAATGTTAAATGGATTTTGATAGTTGAATTCCCTTGCTTTTTAACATAAAAAGTTTCATGTATTGATAGATATGTTTTCTAATCTACTTTCTTATA